ATTCTCTCCCTCCCTCTCTTCCTCCCTCCCTCTCTTCCTCCCTCCCTCCCTCCCTCCCTCCCTCCCTCTCTCTCTCCCACCATCCTTCTCTCCCTCCCTCTCTTCCTCCCTCCCTCCCTCTCTTCCTCCCTCCCTCCCTCTCTTCCTCCCTCCCTCCCTCTCTTCCTCCCTCCCTCCCTCCCTTCCTCCCTCCCTTCCTCTCTTCCTCCCTCTCTTCCTCCCTCCCTCCCTCTCTTCCTCTCTCCACCTCTCTCACCCCCTCCCCCCTCCATCATTTCACTTCACTCACTTCCCCTCCTTCCATAGCTCTCTCCCTCCACCACTCCCTCCATCACTCCATCACTCCCTCCCCCTCCCTCATTACATTAGTAAAATATCTTTCTGTATTTAGTTGTCATTTCACAATACAACATTTGTTTAAATGTGAATTTTGAATAGAAATTTGAAGTTCTGACTTGGTAATACATTGAAGTTGATATTCCAGTGGGAATCCAGTAGGAATCCAGTAGGACTTCAATGTGTGGAGCATTTCATCTAATTTGTTTAAGTTCAGTTGGAGTCCAGTAGGAGTCCAGTTGGAGTCCAGTAGGAGGACAGTAAGAGTCCAGTAGGAGTCCAGTAGGAGTCCAGTAGGAGTCCAGTAGGAGTCCAGTAGGAGGGGGAATGGAGAAATATGTGAAAATGCCTTTTTGGAAATTTTGTCAAAATCCGGTAGGAATCCAGTAGGAATCCAGTAGGAATCCTACTGGAGTCCCGGAGTCCAGTAGGAATAGGTGGGGGAGTGATAAGTATTGGATTCAAACATCATAGCAAGTATCTTAGGTCCTTCCTAACGTAGCTGCCAAGCATCTGACCAAAGCTTGAGATATGTAAGTATTTTGATTCACTGTTATTCCACCAGGAACCCTTAGGTGGCCAAGTACCTGACCTTTGATAGTAATGGCTAAGTGCGACTTGTCGGTGGTCGTCCTCAGCCTCTCCTTCCACAGCACACTTGAGATAAAAACAAAGTAGACATTTCATTCATTTTATGGTATGTAGGATTGTCTACTTCCCTGATGTTTAATATACTGTTTCAATCTGGTGTTGTACTCTTGTCTGCTCTGAACTAAAATTTGAAAATCATATATTCCAGAATCTGTCAAGTAGTCAATCCATTTGGCATCTTTGGCTTGTGTTTTCCCAAAAAATTGAGGCCATACCTGTAGCGATTGAGCCACAAGCAGTTCTCGACGGGAGCCCATTTTCAATCATGTGCACACCAATTAGATTGCTCGTCCGACACACATGACAATACAACATGTTACTAGCGATATTCTCACTCGAAACTCTTCTTAATCGATAAGTGTTTGCCTCCATATATTTCGGATGCCAAGCGGCACCTGGAAACATGGCAAAATGAACCTAAGCTCAGAGGATGCACATACAGAGATTGGGAAGGCAGAAAGGATCTGGGTCTGCTTCTGGCTCAAGTTCAAGCAGAGAGAATCCAAGAGTCAATTGTACAGCACAGGAAGAGGTTCTCAAAGAAAAGCTCAAGCTTCTACAATTACAAATGGACATTGCCCAAGGCCCACTTGTTGATCTTACACACACATGCCCCAGGCCAAGTAATGATTCTGACGTTGATAGTGACACAGATATGGAACTTGCCTACTAAACATTGATCCTAATCATGATTACATTTTTTATTACTTTGAAGAGACACGAATGTGCTGGGCAGACAATCTACAATGCAAACGATCCAAAAACCACTCTGTGATGACCTAATACATCCGAGATGTTAGATTTTGGTGAGAGCCAAACAAGGACAAGCGTCATGCTGATTGGATACCTTCCTGTAAGGATCTGAAGATGTCTGAAGTTTTCAAACGTCTTCAGATTATGCCAAGTCGTCGTCGGCCGAGATGCCAAGCCTCCATCAACATCAATTTCAAATAGTTAGGTGTCTTCAGATTTCTTCAGACAGTAAAATCTACAGAGGCCTCCCGACCCCTCTGCAGACTGAAATTTTGTCTTCAGATGGTCCAATCTGAGATGCCATCATCCTGAGTTACCTTTGTGGTGCTTATCCTGTCCCGCCCCTGCTTATGGAGGTCTTTATCATGCCCCACTGATTCCTGCCGGATTCCGGTCATTCCTGTGGAATCCAGTGGAATCCAGAGGAATCAAATTTGGCAGAGACAACAGCCAAAATGACATTCCAGGGGACAAATATTCCTCGGGAATGATGTCATTCCTGATTAGTAGCCGGAATGGTCCCCGGAATGGACAAAAAGGAATGACACCAGAATGCAATGACTGGAATTTACATTACTAATCAATAATATTAATAAACATTAATATGCCGATGCCCAAATCGAGCCTCGGCGTTTGCCGACATTTGATTTGGCATCATCCACACTCACCCTCTTCTTCCTCACCCACCACCATCATCAACGACACCCATCCCCACGTCACCACGCCACCACTTCAACGGACGACGACCACGCGTCAACGGACGACGACAACAACACGCCAACGGACGACACGACATGTCAGCGGACAACAACAACGACAACGATGACGACGGACGACGATGATGACGACGGACGACAACACGTCAGCGACGACGACGACGGCCACGCGTCGACGGACAACGACAGCGACACGTCAACGGACGACACGACATGTCAGCGGACGACGACGACCGACGACGACGACGGCCACGCGTCAACAGACGACGACACATCGATGGATGACGACGACGACGACCAACGACGATGACGACCAACGACGACAACAACCAACAACGACAACAACCAACAACGACAACAACCAACGACGACAATGACCAACGACGACCAACGACGACAATGACCAACGACGACAACGACGACGACCAACAACGACAACGACAACGACCGACGACACGTCAGCGACGACGACGGATGACGAGGACGACGACACGTCAACGCACCCCTGGCTGTAGTCCTATGCCTGATATACTGGATCAATGCACTTCACTCATTTCCATAGAGAGTGCAATGCCCCACTTGGTCTGGATGTGGATTAATGCAGGTCATGCTGTAGGGTGGGTGGTGTTATTATTATATGCACTGATATACCTAGATATGTATGATTATTTGTGGTATTCATATGGATGTGTGATTATTTGTGATATTGACTGTACTTTGTCATTTTCCGTGTTTCCTTCTAGTTCTCCGACCTCCAATCATAATAGAACCAAACATCAATTTTCTTTTTTCGGAGGTGCAACCATGTTTTGGCCTCCAGAATATGTTTCATGTGGAGAGAAGCCAGGGAAAACTTTCCAAAGAGATCTTAGAATATATTTTTAATGATTCTGACACTTTCCCCCATGTCAAGCATGTCGCCAGAGGGTGGATTGAACAAGTCCCATTTGGATGACGTTGAAGAGTTTGCCACCACTGATCAACACATGCAAATACGCCGGCTATGTTCTTACCCGAGATCCCCGACGCAGGCAAAAATACTAAAATTATCTACGCATCGTCGTCCTCCACCAGCTCCTCGAGTACAGGGTCTACAATATGAGAGGGAACCTCCCCACTATCATCTTGGCTAATCAGTGGCACCAAAGGCTTGTCCCACCAACGACTGAATCTAGCGTGAAGAGCACGTTGCAAGTTGGCCTGCCTGACCGCGTATGCTCGGACACCATCCCTTCCGGCATCATCCAGGCCCTCCCACCCCACCTGCCGCTCCTCCCACCACAGGGCCTTCCACTCAAGAGTCTGTCGAACACGTCTCATCTCCTCCTTCAACAAGTGCACCTCCTCCCACCATCGGAGATGCCTCGCACGCGCTTTCGCCCATTCAACCGTGACAGCTGTCAAAGACTGCACCTCAGCGCTTTGGTCACAGGTCAGAGCGAACGACTTACCCTCATGCAAAACAGCGTCGCTGCCACCCACAATGGACTGTGCCGTGGTCCAAATCCATGAAACTACCTTTTTGCCTTGACCCAGGCCCTTCTCGATATTCGCTCGTTTCTTCTTGGAAAGCTCTCGTCCATCTGCTCCGAAGGGATGGTCAGGATCTTCGATGCTAATCTCATGCCCATCAGGCGTTGTCAGGTCTCTGTGGTTCAGCTCTCGCAGTTGACTCTCCCAATCACCAGGGCCCACGAGCTTGAGTAAAGCCGCGCGGGCCATCCTATATTTTACGGCGAGGGTGTTCAACTTGTCTTCCAAACGGTTGAGCGTGTCTTGAGCCCGTGTATTCGGACCCTGATGCCGGATGTTGCGGTTGCGGAAACTAATAAACGAGAGACGGCCAC